TCCGCCTGCCGATGCAGGGGCTCGTGCCCCAGTCCGGGAAGACCCCACATGCCGTGGAGTGGCTGGGCCCGTGAGCCATGGCCGCTGAGCCTGCGCGTCTGCAGCCTGCGATCAGCAACGGGAGAGGCCACTGCAGTGAGGGCCCCGCGTACCGCAAAAAAAAAAAAAAAAAAAAAATACGCCTGCCAATTCAGGAGACACAGGTTCGACCCCTGGTCTGGGAAGATCCCACATTCCACAGTGAAACTAAGCCCATGCACCTCAAATACTGAGCTTGCACTCTAGAGCCCATGAGCCACAACTACTGAAGCCCACGCGCCTAGAGCTGGTGCCACGCAACAAGAGAAGCCACCGCAATGAGAAGCCCGTGCACCACAATGAAGAGTAGCCCCTGCTTGCCACAACTAGAGAAAGCCCGCGCACAGCAACCAAGACCCACGCGGCCAAAATATAAATAAATAAATAAATTTATTTTAAAAAAATGTGTAAAGAGAAATGTATGTCTCTCTTCTCATTCTTGAATAATTTTTATTTCACATGTATATGTTAGAATTCTAAATCAGGGGAGTTATAGGAAACTTTCTTAGTCCTATTTTCCCTCTTTCAGACATTCCCACAACTGACCTGTATTTTTGGTCAATATGATTACCATGTGATGTAAGTTGTTATTTGAAGATTTTCATTATGGCTGTTAGTGGTATGAGAATAGACCTGTGTCACAGGAAAAGTTTTCCAGAATTTCCAGAAGTTATTGTTCAAGCTATTGGTGCTTCACTTATTATTAAAGGATTAAAAATTACATTTTTATTTCCAACTATGGGAAACCAATTCTTATATCCCCATCTATTTTATATCCTATGTAGGTAAGTAATGAGGAATAGGGTTAGGATGATGAGTGATGGGCTGGAAGAAATACGTTAGATTTTTAAAACACAAGCTATTTGAACTAGCATTATATTAGCCCCCATAAAAATATCCCATATGTTCATTTCTTGAAAATTGCTTTCATTTGCTTTTAAAGCTGAAAAAAATAAAACAAAATTAAAATTATGTTAAATGATACTCATATCTTGGCTTTTTCCCTAAGGATATCAAGGAGAAATTCCAAAGAGAAGAGAAAAAGAAATACTGTATGTTAGCAGGGTTTATCAGCAGTGCCTTTATGGGTTAAAGAGGTTCAGTTTTAGGTTATGTGTGGGAAAAATGTGAGACAGGTGTGATTATAATCTCATTGCATTCCACATCTTCCTAAGTTGGTTTCGAGTAGGTAGTTGCTTATTTTATAAATTTAAGAAACCATTTGGGCTTCTTGGATATCTTGTTAAAAATTCAAGACAATTGCCTGCAGATTTTACAAATTTAAAGTAGATCGATTAGTAAAGTGTGCATAAAAATGTAAAAAATAATCTTTGCTTCCTCCAAGATATTATTTTCAAATCTATATCAGGCTTCCATTTAACTGTCATTAAGGAAATATTACACAGTTTGCTACATTATCCTGTACTAGAACTGAATGATGAATGGAAAAGAAAATAGAACTAGTCTATGAAATGATGACTTCATCAGAGTGATTATTTATTTTATTTTTTGTTTATTTATTTTTTTTTTATTATTATTTTTTTTGCGGTACGCGGGCCTCTCACTGCTGTGGCCTCTCCCCTTGCGGAGCACAGGCTCTGGACGCACAGGCTCAGCGGCCACGGCTCACGGGCCCAGCCGCTCCGCGGCATGTGGGATCTTCCCGGACGGGGCCACGAACCCATGTCCCCTGCATCGGCAGGAGGATTCTCAACCACTGCTTCACCAGGGAAGCCCTATTTTTAAAAATTTTTTTAACATCTTTTTTATTAGAGTAAAATTGCTTTACAATGGTGTGTCAGTTTCTGCTTTATAACAAAGTGAATCAGTTATACATATACATACGTCTCCATATCTCTTCCCTCTTGCATCTCCCTCCCTCCCATCCTCCCTATCCCACCCCTCTAGGTGGTCACAAAGCACCGAGCTGATCTCCCTGTGCTATGCGGCTGCTTCCCACTAGCAGAGTGATTATTTTTAACCACTTAAAATTTATTGTATTCATGTGTCAGGTATTGTGCTATGCTTTCACAGCAATTATCACATTTAATTTTCTAAATAACCTCTGAGGTAGGTATTATTATTTTCTATCAAATGAGATATCAGGGACTTACATAAAGTTATATTATTAATAATTTGTAAAGCCAGAAATGAAGTCAAAGTTTTAGAATTCCAAGGAATATCAGTGTTTTAGTATATTGACTGCAATTGAAAAAAACAAGTATTTAGTAGAGTTCTTTTTTGGGGGCAGTAACTGTGAGAAATGTCATGTCCTTATATTTGTGTCATATATTTATTCAGATCTTTATTTGCATAGTTACAATTCACTTGGCTTTTATTCCTTTAGTGACAATTTCTTCAAAAACTTATGTCTCCTCAAGAAGAATCTAAAGAATTTCATGTAGTTCTTATTCCATTTTCAGACAGCCTGAGGTATAATTCATTTATAATACAATAAACTGAATGTATATAAAATACCATTTGAATAGTTTTGACATTCACAGTTGTGAAATCATCACTGCAATCAAGATAATAAACATATCCATTACTCTCAAAAAACAAACAGGGACTTCCCTGGTGGTACAGTGGTTAAGAATCCGCCTGCCAATGCAGGGGACACGGGTTCGAGCCCTGGTCCAGGAAGATCCCACATGCCATGGAGCAACTAAGCCCATGTGCCACAACTGCTGAGCCAGTGCTCTAGAGACTGCAAGCCACAACTACTGAGCCTGTGTGCCTAGAACCCATGCTCCGCAACAAGAGAAGCCACCACAATGAGAAGCCTGTGCACTGCAACAAAGAGTAGCCCCAGCTCACCACAACTAGAGAAAGCCCACGTGCAGCAATGAAGACCCAATGAAGTCAAACATAAATAAATAAATAAATAAATATTTTAAAAACAAACAAACAAACAAAATCTGTCTCCTCATAGGTTTGGCCACTGGTAACTCAGATACATTTCAGAAACTCAGGTACCTGAGTCTTCCAGCAAAAAGTTTTTATATTTTATTGAGTAATACATACTTTTTCTTCCTTAAATTAAAAAATTCTTCATCTTTTCTAATTAGAAAAAAATTGCCTATCTAAGTTAATTTCATATAACTGCTCTTATGTGACTATAATTTTTTGGAAAAGAACTCTCAAAATCAGACCAATGTACTCTGGTTGAACTTTTGTTTTTTAGTTAATTGTGCTTAGCATGCAGCTCAGGTTGATAATCTTGTCTGTGTTGACACTAAAGTATCTACTTATTGATGTTATGCTGCCAATTATAACTATTTTCATAAGTGATAATCTAAATTTAGCTCTTGATAGTTCAAAAATATCTGTTATCATCAACACTTCTCAAAAAATATCAACATAATTTTACTTTGTTTCTAATTTTCTAGCATTTTAGAATGGGAAAACTTTTGTTCAGAATTAATGGTTAAAGGTTTTACTAGCTATTTATGAACTAAGTGAAAACCTGCAAGACTATTTTCCATTGTTTTAAATATACAGAGCAAATCTGACGTCTTATGTCCTCTACTCATATTGAATCAGGCTAGATTAAGGATAATAATCATAAATACCATTTCTAGCTACTAAATGAATTTATTCCTTACATTTTATGTTAGGTGGTATCATAATTGGGGCAACCAATACATTAAGATAGATTAGTTTTCACAAGTTTGACTTAACACGTTATATATCTCAAACTACAGTTAAATGCCGTAGACTCTTATTTTCAACGAATTCCAATGAGGCAAAAAGCACAAACAAAAAGCATAATTCCTCTGAGAATTTACAGTATGGAGATCTGTAATTCATGAGATTACTAATTTTAATTCCTACACAGGGATATTGTTTGATCTACTATTTTATTGAGAGGCTGGATTTTAGCTGTGAAATTTACCTGCAAAGTTGTTTTATAATAGAAAATAACATGCTTTTGCTTTCAGTATTACTATTGTAAGAAAAAAATAGACTAAAACCAGATTATTAAGGCCTCCTTTTTTTTCTTCCTAAGGACAGCAAGGTAAAATAAAGTCCAAAGTCCAAAGTCCAAAGTAAAATAAAAATAGAGAGAAAGCATAGATTTGTGAAGGCACAAATCAGATTCAGAAACTTCTCCTGGCCTGAAGCATTACAACACACACAGCATGCAGGAGAGATCTTTAAGGGAGTCTGCCCTGTGTCATCAAGGGTCTAGATTACATCATCATTGATTTCATCTTCTCCATCTCCTAATTTTAATGGCTCTGCTTTCCCAAAGGCTGCTGTAATTTATCCCACGGGTTCTCAAAATAAGCAAAATTTAAAACAGAAACACTGCTTCTGTGTTGTCTTTATTGTCTTTGCCTTTTTTTGATACCACATCTATTTGCAGAGATAACAGTACCTTCTCCTCCAGTTCCAATGAAAATGCTCTTTATATATTCAGTTTTATCAATGAGATGAAGAATTTTTGTGATTTGTGAAATAAGACACAAATAATACATTTACTCTGCTTTACTGTAAAATTTAACCATAATGAATTTTGCTGAATTTATGAGACAAGAGATATATCCAAAATAAATTTGGATGAAATGTTTTGCAGCATGTGATAATTCAACTATAATTTTATTTTATTTTTCTTACATCAGACTGGAGCAACCCTTCCGCAAACATATTTTTAAAATAAACAAAATTACGGTAGTTTTACTTTCTAATATGTTCACTCCTTCCGAGATTCACTGGGAAAGAGTAAAAAATCTTGAAGAGGGTAATGAGTCCCAGCTGAGAATCATGTGCCAAGATGCTCAATGACTTTTTTTTTCTTTAAAGACATAGATAATAAGGATAGGAAATAATTTTTAGCTATTAGGGATTACTTCTTTAAAAAAAAGCAACTAGAAGTTCCACCTTGAAAATAAGTGAATTACCATTTCAAACTGCCTTACCTTATCTGAGAGTAGGAAGGGATTTCAGAAGTTAGCAGCAGTTCTCAAATGTATCTGTCATTCAGGTAGAAGTTGTCACTGGTCCCTGGTAAAAAGTTAAATTTACTTCTCAGGAACTGTTCTCTAGTGAATCCTTAATATTCTTTCAGTGTTAAAATAGCAGTTTTAAGATGGAATGATGTGAAGCTAAATTGTGGTTGTTACTTCTAATGTACTCACTTAGCAAAATAAAAAGTTGGCAACAGTATATCAGTCCCCTTACCTTTGTCCTTGAAAGTTTACTGGTTCATAAAGCCCCAGATTGGTGAGCACTTTTCTAATAGAGCTTCTGTCTTTCCACAAATACTTATTGAGTCTCTGGGGACAGATCATGAACATGACACACAGGTGTCAAATAAAACGTAGAGTCTCAAGATAGACAAGTAAGTAATGATTGTAATACAGTGGAATAAGTGCTTTTAGGGAAATGGAAGTGCAGGGAATACTGGAGCATATGAGCAGGCCACCTAATCCTGATTTGGGGAAGTCAGGCAAGGGTTTCTCTAGGAAAGAGATATAAAACATGACTAGTACATATGGGCTTTGTGAGCAAAGTATCTCCCTTGAGGTAACTAGGTACTTAGAAAAGCAAACCAAGGGGCTGCTTTATCACCATGGAATTAGAGCAAATGGCTATAATTAGAGCCTGTTAAACTTTGATGAAATAATCATGTCCCAGCCAGTACAACAGTGGCCAGATATTAATTTCTCTAGAGGCAAGGTAGTGGGATAAAATTTTTGAGGTAAGAAGTGATATTCTCTTTCTCCGTGTGTCTCTCTCTGTTTCTGTCTGTCTTTCTGAGAGTGAAACTTTCCTTATCCTCCTCCAGATCCTGAATCTTTGTCTCAGAAGAAGAGAGTATCTGGGGAGAAAACTGGGAGGGCAGGAACCTCATCTTTCTGGGTTTGGTTTCCAAAACCCACCAAAGAGGATACAAGTAGGTGTCTCTGGATAAATCACAAATAAGACAGCGCCTAGGGAATAAAGCACTGGGGATGTGGGGGAACTTTCCCTGAGACTAAAATATTGTTCTCACAGGGCTGGGGAGTAGAGGCAGGAGGGGTAGAGAGGAAGAGAATACTCAAGGGGAGCTGATAAAAGCAGAATTTGGTGGTTCCCAAGGACAAAGCCATATATCCAGTCAGAACCTCAAGGAGGTGAGAGCACCCAGTAAGAAAAGGTTGGAAGGTATGCCTAGGGAGGGAATCTCAAATTCCCATGTGATCCAAAGGTAGTCAGGAGAGCCACAGGACCCGGAGGCACTTGTGGAGAGAAACAAGGGCTGTATTGCTAACTAGGAGACTAGGCAGGCTTCCCAATGCCTTGAGACTACATAAGCGTGACTCATATATAACTGGTATGGCTGTAGTGGTTGATAAATTATCAAAGTACTTTATATTCATTGATAGGCATTTACCCAGAATGACCCACCCTCCCCAAACTAAAGGATTAATGCCTGGGATGGCAGAGGAACCTCCAGGATGCCACATAAGCGCTAAACCTGGCATCTGCATCCTTTCTGACTGGTTGGTATATTAGTTATCTCACGTTGCATGACACTTTACTCCAAAAATTGGCAGCTTAAAGCAGTAATAACTATTTGTTGTCTCACAGCATCTCTGTGGGTCAGGAATTTGGGAGCAGCTTAGCTGGGCTATTCTGGCTCATGGTATATCATGAGTTTGTAGTCACGAGGTCAGCTGGGTCTGCAGTCTTGACTGGCACAGGGGGACCAATCCTAAGATGTGTCACTCACATAGCTGGCAAGCTGGAGGAGGCCTCAGTTCCTCACCTTGTGGAGCTCTCTGTGAAGCTGCTTGGATGTCTTCAATGACATGGCATCTGCCTTCCCCAGAATGAGTGACCTAAGAGAGAGCAAGGCAGAGCTATAGTGTCTTGTATTACTTAGCCTTCAAAGACACACTCCATCATTCCTGAAGTATCCTACTGATGACAGGTAATCCCTATTCATTGGGAGAGAGACTACACAGGGTATAATAACTAGGAGGTGAAAATAATTGGGGGTCGTCTTTAAGGCTCCTACCACAGTCGGTGGCCTTGTCCTATGGGTTGTTAAATATTTGGAATGTCACTTTCACACAAGTCAGAGTAGCCTTGAAAAAGGAGGAGGCAGAAGTGCAGGGCAAAGTCCAACCTGACTTGAGATTAAATTTTTGTCTTCCTCCAAGAATGGTACCTCAAACAGAAGCTGGGTTTTATAAAAATGTAAATTTTGTTCTTGCACACCTGAATTTGTGTACTGAGATTCATGGCTACTGTGTTCCATGTAACTGCTCCCTGAAAATAACTGCCAAAGTTTTCTTTGTTCACCACTCCTCTTCTATCGCTTTAATTCTTTCTTTAAAAGGTACAATCCTTCAATAACTTGGCTATTTAGAATGTGAATCTGGGAAGCACTCTGCCTCTTCCCATTAATAGTGATTTCATTATATCATTCCTTCTGGAAGCCCAGAATGTGGAGCACGTATAATGTCCTTCCTAGAAGGGCATCTGTGCAGCAAGGCAAATGCTAATTAGTGCTGCCTTGGCGTCAGAAGAAAGAAGGGCAGGTTGACAGTGAGGGTCATTGGATTTATGCACCATTCATATTTATTATCTGTTTTGGGGACAACCATTGATAAAATATGACATTGCTTAAGTTTATTAACAAAGAATCATCAATGATATAGTATGGCAGTTACCCAGTGAATTATCAAGGGGCATGTCTGAGTCCATGCCTTTGGAATTTTCTAGGACTTCATGGAGATCCTGAGTTGCAGAATTTTAGAAATGCTGCCCATTTTGAGAGTTATACTGTTATTCTTGGAAAGATGTTTAAAAATTCTAAGTTACTTGGATATATTTGGAATCTGGGTGAAAAGAGAAAGAAATATGAAGTTCTAGGTAATTTATCAATGGAAGCAGCATTAGTTCCCAACCCGAGAAAAGAATGAATAATTCCCCATTTGTGTCTCATAAAAAACAAGCAGAATTTCAAGCCTCTGTGGGCTGGATATATTTTACCATGTCTTCTCTTCAACACAAGTCAACCATTGCTGAGCCATTAATCATATACTAGAAAAAGACATTCTGTGGAGTTGAAATATAATTTCCATATGAAATATAGCTATGTTTAATAGCTTCTGAGCTATGTATGTCAAATAGCTTCTGAGTCTAGCTATTACTTCAGGAAAACACACAGCCCTACCTCTCATCAAAAATGGAAGCTCACACCCAGAATGAAAGAATAATAATAATGGCTACTGTGGCAGTTATGGTGGTGCAGTTAGAATCTCTCTTCAAGAAAGAACTTGCTATTCAGCTGCAAGGGGGGGCAGGGAGCTGACAGCCTTTAGCTGCTAAAGGCTTCAGGATTTATCTCAGCTTCTGAGCTGAGGCAACACCCTTCAAGGCAGACCTCAGTCAATGACTGAACATGTCGGGGTCCTAAGGCCTGGATACTTCTGCCCACTGTAGTAAGACTGTTCTAATTGGTAATCTTTGCTCAGAAGCTTTTCTTATTGAGTGGGCTGACACTTGGTCAGATCTAAATCATGGCATGAGACTTGTTCTGTCCAATCCTGCTTCTTACTCTCCTTTCACATGTATCATATATGCATCATGGTCTGAAAGCATTCCCTACCCAATCTCACTTTCTTCACATGGAGTGTCCCCTAGTAAAACTCTTGCATTCCCATCTCAACATCTGCTTCTCAGAGGCCCAAAATGACACAGCTACTATTTATTAAGAACCTACTGTGTGAAGGAGTATATCATAGTGTGTTTGGGGAAGCTATTTAACCTCTCCTAACTGTTCTCTCATCTATAAAGTGGGGTTGTTGTAAAAATTAAATGAAATAATCTACAAAGAGTAATTTGTACAGGCCCTGGGATACAGCAAGTACTCAATAACTGGTATGTAACACTAAGAGTATTATTATGCCATATGCTAGAGTCTGTGTGAGAAATTTTTTATTACTTGTAATTCTTGTTAAATATCAAATATTATTGTGCTTATTTAACATATGAAGTAACTAGTGTTCACTGAAGTTAAAATAACTTGTTCAAATTACTTTATATACTTCAACCTGGGATTCAAACTCAGCAAGTTCTGTAGAAGACAGCAATGCACACGTATGCTAGCAAAGAATCTACTGCTGTTACCTAGAATGTAAAGGAGCTCCACACCCTCTATGGCATGGTATGTACAATCTGTAATTAATAAAAACTACTTTGGGGATTCATTCATAACTTTAAGTCTACTCTTAATTCCACCATGTATATGACACTAGAATCTAACAATGGGTGCTTAAACCAAGAATTGGTCAAAAAGCTCAGAATAGCAATATATAATGCCACTGCCACTGCCTGATGAATAATGATCAGTTATTTTATTTTTTGCGTTTTATTTTAATTTTTTGAATTTTATATTATTTTTTATACAGAAGGTTCTTATTAGTTACCTATTTTATACATATTAGTGTATATATGTCAATCCCAATCTCCCAATTCATCCCCCCTGTGCCTACTTTCCCCCCTTGGTGTCCAAACATTTGTTCTCTACATCTGTGTTTCTATTTCTGCCTTGAAAACCGGTTCATCTGTACCATTTTTCTAAGTTCCACATATATGCATTAATATACAATATTTATTTTTCTCTTTCTGACTTACTTCATTCTGTATGACAATCTCTAGGTCCATCCATGTCTCTACAAATGACCCAATTAAGTTCCTTTTTATGGCTGAGTAATATTCCCATTGTATATATGAACCACATCTTCCTTATCCATTCGTCCCTCGATGAGCATTTAGCTTGCTTCTATGACCCGGCTCTTGTAAATAGTGCCGCAATGAACATTGGGGTGCATGCGTCTTTTTGATTTATGGTTTTATCTGGGTACATGCCCAGTCGTGGGACTGCTGGGTCATATGGTAATTCTATTTTTAGTTACTTTAAAAAACCTCCATACTGTTCTCCATAGTGGCTGTATCAATTTACATTCCCAACAACAGTGCAAGAGGGTTCCCTTTTCTCCACACCCTCTGCAGCATTTGCTGTTTGTAGATTTTCCGATAATGCCCATTCTAACTGGTGTGAGGTCATACCTCACTGTAGTTTCGATTTGCATTTCTCTAATAATTAGTGATGATGTTGAGCATCTTTTCATGTTCCTCTTGGCCATCTCTACTCCTTCTTTGGAGAAATGTCTATTTAGGTCTTCTGCCCATTTTTTCATTGGCTTGTTTATTTTTTTAATATTGAGGTGCAGGAGCTGTTTATATATTTTGGAGATTAATCCTTGGTCCATTGATTCATTTGCAAATATGCTCTCCCATTCAGAGGGTTGGGTTTTCATCTTGTTTATAGCTTCCTTTGCTGTGCAAAAGCTATTAAATTTCATTAGGTCCCATTTCTTTTTACTTCCATTACTCTAGGAGGCAGGTCAAAAAAGATCTTGCTGTAATTTATGCCAAAGAGTGCTCTTCTTAGGTTTTCCTCTAAGAGTTTTATAGTGTCTGGTCTTACATTTAGGTCTTTAATCCATTTTGACTTTATTTTTGTGCATGGTGTTAAGGAGTGTTCTACATTCATTCTTTTACATATAGCTGTGCAGTCTTCCCAGCACCACTTACTGAAGAGACTGCCTTTTCTCCATTGTATATCCTTGCCTCCTTTGTTATAGATTAGTTGACCATAGGTGCATGGGTTTATCTCTGGGCTTTCTATCCTGTTCCATTGATCTATATTTCTGCTTTGGTGCCAGTACCATATTGTCTTGATGCCTGTAGCTTTGTAGTATACTCTGAAGTCAGGGAGTTTGATTCCTCCAGCTCCATTTTTTCTCTCAGTATTGCTTTGGCTATTCGGGGTCTTTTCTGTCTCCATACAAATTTTTAATTTTTTTGCTCTACTTCTGTAAAAAATGCCATTGGGGAGTCAGCTCGACACACTACCAGTCCCTCCCATCAGGAAGCTTGCACAAGCCTCTTAGATAGCTTCATCCACCAGAAGGCAGACAGCAGAGGCAAGAAGAAATACAATCCTGCAGCTTGTGGAACAAAAACCACATTCACAGAAAGACAGACAAGATGAAAAGGCAGAGGGCTATGTACCACATGAAGGAACACGATAAACCCCCCAAAAAACAACTAAATGAAGTGGAGATAGGCAACCTTCCGGAGAAAGAATTCAGAATAATGATAGTGAAGATGATCCAGGATCTCGGAAAAAGAATGTAGGCAAAGATCGAGTAGATGCAAGAAATGTTTAATAAAGACCTAGAAGAATTAAAGAACAAGCAAACAGAGATGAATAATACAATAACCAAAATGAAAACTACACTAGAAGGAATCAGTAGCAGAGTAACTGAGGCAGAAGAACGGATAAGTGACCTGGAAGACAGAATGGTGGAATTCACTACTGTGGAACTGAACAAAGAAAAAAGAATGAAAAGAAATGAAGACAGCCTAAGAGACTTCTGGGACAACATTAAATGCAACAACATTCGCATTATAGGGGCCTCAGAAGGAGAAGAGAGAGGGAAAGGACCAGAGAAAATATTTGAAGAGATTATAGTCGAAAACCTCCCTAACATGGGAAAGGAAATAGGCACCCAAGTCCAGGAAGCGCAGTGAGTCCCATACAGGATAAACCCAAGGAGAAACACGCCAAGACACATAGTAATCAAATTGTCAAAAATTAAAGACAAAGAAAAATATTGAATGCAGCAAGGGAAAAATGACAAATAACATACAAGGGAACTCCCATAAGGTTAACAGCTGATTTCTCAGCAGAAACTCTACAAGCCAGAAGGGAGTGGCATGATATATTTAAAGTGATGAAAGGGAAGAACCAACAACCAAG